AATAAATTTTGCCATTGGGGTTAATTGGGGTTTGATTATTGCTGTTTACGTTTTCCATTTTCACAACTGATTTTACTAGTTTCCACCAGGAGGGGGGGGGGGGTAACGTCCACTCGACACAAACTACGTCATTTCGGGACTAACATATGGTTCAATTTTATTTCAATAATTCGCTTGCGCGTAGGGGTCGTTATCAGTGGAAGGAAACTGGAGATCCCGGAGAAAACCCATGAGGTTAGATAGACGACCCTACTCTTTTTCACGTACGACCGGGGAATCGAAACCACGCCAGTTGCAGACAAGTAGTACATTAAGTCCCATTTTATTTTGATACAGAAAAGTAGGACGTTAAACCCTATTCCGTTTTATTATCTTGCTACGCCTTTATCCTGTAGCGTCACTTCCGGTAAATAAACCCCACCCCTAATGTAGATAGATCTCAACTACCGGTACAAGATTGCTTTATACGGTCACAACCTAGATGGTAGACTAAGGGCTGTATACACGAATCGTATTAATCAACTACATGTTTACACAACACGATTGCTTGATATAGGATCTAGATGGTATACTAAGGGCTGCGTACACGAATCGTATTAACCAACTACATGTACGGGAGTATTAACAGGTTTAAAAGTTACAAGCAGATGAAAAAGAAATGCGCCATAGAAAGATCCTGCTGGGTTAATGATGAAAGTCATACACCATAGACATGGTGTGATATGGGGGGAAGATTGCCCGAACAGCGGCACTACGGCTTACTCTTATTTGGAATTCAAATTTTCACGTTTTATTTACGCGCACGATTAGACACTGTTCCTTGTCAGGTCATCTGTCCTGTTCCACCTTGTCAGGTCGTCTGTCCTGCACCACCCTGTCAGGGTCATCTGTCCTGCACCACCTTGTCGGGTCATCTGTCCTGTAACACCTTGTCGGGTCATCTGTCCTGTAACACCTTGTCGGGTCATCTGTCCTGCACCACCTTGCCAGGTCATCTGTCCTGTACCACCTTGCCAGGGTCAGGCAATCTGTCCTGCATCACCTTATCGGGTCATCTGTCCTGTACCACTGACAAGGAGAAACCACGCCAGAAAATCCATAGAAACTATCTCGGCCAACTCCGGGAGCGAGACCCGAGACCTACTGGTTAACGAGCCAGCGTCTTACTCACAGAGCCACCGCGACTCCTACAACGTCGCTACATATTTTAAGAGAGAGAGAGAGAGAGAGAGAGAGAGAGAGATTGGGTTTAACGTCCACTCGACACAAACTAGGTCATTTCGGGACTAACATATCGTTTAATTTTATTTCAATAATTCGCTTGCGCGTAGGGGTCTTTAGCAGTGGGAGGAAACCGGAGGACCCGGAGAAAACCCACGAGTTTGGACAGGCGACCCTACTTCTTGTAACGTACAACCGGGGATTCACATACTTTAAGATATCTCTGAAGTTACGAGTTGGTTTTATTAGTTTCACCTTAAAAACTTGTTTTGTTTATTAATGCCTGTAACGTCTTTAAAACAAGATAGAATAAACCTTAATATTATACTTAAACGATCATGAAATCGTAACATTTCTAATTTCAATATCACCTAAGTGTACCGTTAGCGGTGGATGTGGGCCTTATTCTAATAATTCCAGCGGACGTATGTCAAATTTGGTACATATGGAAAGTGGTGACGCCCAAATACTGGATTCCATGAAAAACACCCCAACTGGACAGAACACACATTTAAGGGTATAACTAATGGACAACTCTTGATGTCCGCTTGATTTTGTTGATGGAATGGCGAGAGAGGCGGAGAGAGAGAGAGAGAGGGAGAGGGAGAGAAGGGGTTTAACGTCCACTTAACACAAACCAGGTCACTAACACATGGTTCAATTTTATTTCACTAATGGGTCTTTAGCAATGGGAGGAAACCGGAGGACCCGGAGAAAACCCACAGGCTGGACAGGCGACCCTGCTCCTTGTCAAGCACAACCTGTGAATCGAAACCACGCCAGTTGACTCAATGACAGACCTTATGATTCGGCTCGTACGTGCTAACCATTCAGCCATCCAACTCTCCAGAATGGCTAGAGGGTTTTGAAAGGGATTTCTAGCAAACTTAACCGACGATAAAAACCCATTGCCGTCGAAATACGAGCACATAGGAAATTTGTTTAGCAAAATCGGAAACAATTAGAAGTTGCTAAAAAAAATTGTATTAGAAAGTGTGCCATGTGTTCCCGGCTTTACCATAAGTCTCAAGTCGTTGATTGTACGGAAACACCACTTATCCTGGTATATAGTGGTATGTAGTAATTTCATTTGTTATAATCAAATCTTAGGGATATTATTATACAAGTACATTTATTGTCTTCATTTAAATGGCCGATGATATTGATATCAACAATAGGTAAGTTATAGTCATTTCAATATTTACAGTGACGTGGGGGTGGGCGGCTTCCAATCAAACAATGAAACTCAAATTAAATCTTTTTTTTTTAAATTATTGCTGTTAACTTGGTTGTGCTAGCAGTCTCGCTTAATTTGAAATGAATTAAATGAAATGAAATTAGGTTTAACATCCTCTTGTTGTGCTCCGACTGGGCTAATACACCAGCCATACATCATACAGTATTTTATGAACTTTCTCGTCTAACGCAGGGCCCTCCAGGTTATCGAGCCAACATTTAATTGAAAAAATAAATCTGCTGATTAAAATAATTTCCTTTCACACATTTCTCCGGATAAAGTCGCATTCTTGAGTCTTCGGGACATACAAGCAAGCAATTTACCCCGGGCCAGTGAATTCATAGTTTGGTGAGACTGTGGTATAGTAAGGTGGGATCGACGTGGAACAGGGTTGGGGTTAGTGAAGGTGGGTTGTAGAAAGCTGCCACACCGTCCACCATCTTGACCTTGGATGTGTGTATTTATATTAAGAATTAACCGTATTGTTGGGTCGTATATTGAGCAGGGTCTGTTTTAACGCGACAAGTCGATTCACCTAATACTACCCAATACCATCCAACAGTACCCAATACTAACCAATACTACCCAACAGTACCCAATACTACCCAATACTGCCCAATACCACCCAACAGTACCCAATACTAACCAATACCATCCAACAGTACCCAATACCACCCAATACTACCCAATACGGGAATCACGGTGGCTAAGTGGGTAAGACGCTTGCTCGTCAGTGATGCGGGAAGGAGAGCATGTCAAGGATACGAAAAATCGAGCTCCCGTGTACACATTGACGTGCACGTAAAAGATCCATTGACAGTTGGAATTCGATATAAGAGTAGGCCGTAGTGCCGCTGTCCGGGCAGAATTTCCCTCATAGCACACTGTTTGGCGTATGCCCGTCTTCATTAGCCTAGTTCGGAGAAAAACAGTAGGACGTTAAACCCCATTTCATTTCATTTCATTTCACGACCATAATCAACTCTCGATGGCATCGCTAGCCTGCGATATTTATTGGATTGCGTTCCGATTTGCTGTTCGACGTCCATTCATAATTAAATCAAAAAATGGATAATCGAGACTATGTTTTTTATCCTACCGACTTTAGTAATGATGATCGAGGCTAGCTCCAGTATTCAATCGCTAAAATCTCGGTTCATAGTGGATCAATTTGACTGAAATTTTCAGCAAATTGCCTTTACATTATCTAGTTTTGGACTATTATAGTGAGAATTGCCAGCTCTTTATCTTATCTCCCATAATGTATTATGCCATTATTTTCATGAATTGTTTTTTTTTATTTTTATGCATAAATATACTTGAGGTCTTGTCACATGAAAAATATGTCATCACGTTTTTCGTAATCAATTGAAGTCATTGGTTTATGTGTATGTAGGTGGAATGGCTAAAGGGGAGATAGGTTTATATATAAAAGTCTAGTATTATACTATAATGAGGGATTCTACCGATATTCGCCGAATATGTATAGACGTTTCACTGACGCATGAGACGACCCTACTCCTTATTATGTGTTAACCATTCGGCCATTTTAGTAGCTTTTCATGTAAGCAATTTTACAATGGGAGCTAAAGAATAAAATTTGCCTAATTTTTTTAGGCAAATTTTATTCTATAGCTCCCATTTTAAAATTGCTTACATGAAAAGCTACGGTATTAAAAAAATTAGGCAAATTTTATTCTTTAGCTCCCATTTTAAATTTGCTTACATGAAAAGCTACTAAAATGGTTAACACATAATAAGAAGTAGCGTCGTCTCATGCGTCAGTGAAACGTCTATACATATTCGGCGAATATCGGTAGAATCCCTCAACCCCAGCAACAAAAAAAACGAGGTCTGCCGAATGCGTCTATTTGTGTGACGTCAGCGCATGGCGGCAGTGACAAAATGAAAATGGACGAAAACGATGTAAATATTGGAAACAAGTGGCGATGATATCGTTTTGTAGGAGTATTTATGCAAATCAAAACGACTAGATTGAAGAAAAAACATAATTGAGTGAATTGACAGAGGTTTGGTTGCCTGACATTACTAATTGTTGAAAAAAAAACGAGCCGAAGCGAGAGCAGGTAAGATGAGTTTTCAACAGGCATTGCATGCCTGTTGTTTTTTATTATATATTGTCTGGTACGACATGGTGTATGCATATATATATACGGATAGAAGGTCAGATACCTGTGAATAAATAGAGCAGAAAGAACTTGCACGTGCGAACTGATAAGGGGTATATTATATGTTGATTTGTTTTTCTCTTTCATTTAGAATGAGATTGTTACAGTGTCTATTATTATTTGGTGTTTGGACAGCTATAACTGGTGGAGATGATCTATTTGTTGAGCCGCAGTTGTGTAAAAAATGTGAATGCCGAAATAAAGAGGGAGCAACGGGCATCGTAGTGGACTGTTCTAAGCGTGCATTAAGAGAAATTCCACCAAATATACCAGACAAAACAACTTGGTTAATACTACAAGATAATTTCATTGAAAATATAGCAGATTACACATTTAACGGAACCAAACTTTCCTTTCTAGACATTTCCAACAATCGTATATCACGACTAAACAATTTTAGTTTTTATGGATTGGACACTTTGATCACACTGAACCTTCACAGCAACAATATTAGTATGAAACCTGAAAGCTACCCGATTGGAGTTTTTAAATCTCTTGTAAATCTCCAAACTCTGGACATATCTTCAAACTACAAATATCCAGTATCTAACGCGGACTATCCGGATGAAAGCTTTGCAAGTTTGTGTTCTCTTGAAACCTTAAAGATGGATGGCATACTCATTATAGAACTTGGGAGGGGTTTTTCAAATCTTACGAACCTGAAATACCTGAGTTTTACAGGTAAATGTGAAACCCACCACATTATTAACACTTCTTTTATCAATGTCCCTAACATAGAAAGCCTCGTGTTGAGTAACTGTCAAATCAGAAAAATTGATAGTTTTGCCTTCAGCATGTTTTCAAAATTAAAATTTCTCGATCTCGCTGGTAACAGGAAACTTGGATTTGATGCCGCAACGTTGCCTTTAATAAATTTAAACAGTAAAGCTTTCCGCATTCTCAATATAAGTTCCATTTATGAAAACTTTGCTCTTGGGACTGAAGTAACTGGCAAGCACGTATCTAGATTTCATCACCTTAATATCACGGAACTTTATGTAGATCAGAACAGGATTCAACGCTTTGACGAACTAATTCTTAATTACTTACCTGCTACCATTAGAATAACAAGTCTTAGGGATAATTTACCGACGTTTGGGATATATGTGTTTGGTTTATATTATTTTAAAGATATTATATGTGTTGATGCCAGTTATCAGTACATCACACATCCTGAACACGACAATATATTACCAGATAGATCTTATTTCTACAAAAACTGTCCCTATTTTAATGATGAGGTCATCCATGACGACAATCATCTCAAACAGGAACGGATACGGATGCACATATTTCACTATTGAGTTGGTTTTCTAAAAGCGAGGAGAAACGGAATCAATCTGTTATTAAACTTCCACCTAAAATTCAATACATTAATATAAGCCACATTAAACTTGGATGTTCCATTCCACGAATGACGTTTGGTAAAAACCAAGTGAAAATGCTGGATTTCTCATCAAATATTTTAAATAAATGGCATAGTCCAATTTTGGGTTGTACTCGTATGGAATGGCTCAGTTTGTCCCACAACTTCTGTGACGAAATAAATAAGGATTTTTTTATTGGAGCAATTAATCTTCGTTCTTTATACATTGGTTCGAATTTTTTAAGCTTTACCTTTGCTTCTGACACGAATGGAAGTATATTTAAACCATTAACCAAGCTAGAAATATTGGATATATCAGACAATCATATAACGGTTCTACCTTCGGTATTTCTACACGAGCAAATAAAATTAAAGAATTTAGATTTATCCAATAACAGAATGAAGCAATGGTCGTTGGATATTGATCACATGACCAACTTAACATTCCTCGATCTTAGCTACAACAGTTTATCTACACTTCCACTGTCTTTAAGAAAATTTGGTGATCTGCAGCAGGCTAAGGGGACAGTTTTGAAAATCAACCTGCTCGGTCAGTCCCTGTTGTGTATCTGTGAAAACCTGGATTTCTTTAAATGGATGGAAACTAACACAACCAATTTTATTAGAAGAAATGAATACACGTGTGAAAACAGGCACGGAAAAATTATCTCATTAAACCATCTAGGAGCCATATTGTTAAATCTAGACAAGGAATGTGCTTCGTGGACAGTCATGATTGTTGTTTTAACCAGTAGCATTGTGGTGATTATGGCGGTTATCATGTCGAGCCTAATATATAGATACCGCTGGAAACTCCGATATTTTTATTACGTAAGACGTAACATATACCGTCAATATACTGCTCTTGGTAATGATATTCAGAACAAGTTTGACTTCGATGCCTTCGTTTCGTACGCAGATGAAGACCGCCAGATTGTCGTTACTGACATGATTGAAAAGCTAGAAAGGCAACAAGGGATGCAACTCTGTATTCACCACCGGGATTTCTTGGTAGGGGAGGTAATTGCTGCTAATATATCCAACGCTGTGAGAAACAGTAAGAAAACTCTGATTGTGTTGACGAAGAATTTCCGCAAGAGTTATTGGTGCATCTATGAACTGAATATGGCTTTAATAGAAGGTATTAGTACCGGTAGAACTGTTGTAATTGTTATAATATATGAACGTATTCCAGTTAAAGATCTACCTCATGAGCTTGTTCAGCTAATGAGAAATGATTCGTATGTAGAATATACTGATGATCCTTAGGGTAATCTTGTCTTTTGGGACAATCTTACAAAAGCAATTAATGCAGATTAAGATTTCATAAAGTCTCTCCCGGTGTAAAAATACACACATTATATGTTTAGCCTCGTTCATCGAGTCGCGGGGGGAGGGGGGTGGCTGAATGGTTAGCGTGCGCGCGCTGTATCATAAAGTCTGTCATTGAGTCGACTGGCGTGGTTTCGAATCCCCGGTTGTACGTGACAAGGAGTAGGGTCGCCTGTCCAACCTCGTGGGTTTTCTCCGGGTCCTCCGGTTTCCTCCCACTGCTAAAGACCCCTACGCGCAAGCGAATTATGTAAATAAAATTAAACCGTATGTTAGTCCCGAAATGACCTAGTTTGTGTCGAGTGGACGTTAAACCCCATTTCTCTCTCTCTCTCATCGAGTCGCTTCATAAAACTGGCGCTCGAAAGCATTATGGCAAACGATTCGTGTTCCCATTTTAAAGTTTTAATTTTGTCTTAAGTATTGGATATAAGAAGCCCAACTTTTGACCCGGTGATTTGGAATCTTTGATGTATACCTATATAATTTGTGTTTACTGTCCATGATGGCGTTCATCATATATTAGCAAGGCCTGTTAAACTATTTTAAGTTGTTTCAGTGTGAATGTCGAGGGGGGGGGGTAGCTAAATGATGATCACGTACGCGTTGTATAATAAGGTCTGTAATTGAGTCAACTGGCCAGGTTTCAATTCCCCGGTTGTACGTGACAAGTAGTAGGTACCCCCTCTCCAACCTTGTGGGTTTTCTCCGGGTTCTCCAGTTTCCTCCCACTGCTAAAGACCCCTACTCGCAAGCGAATTATTGAAATAAAATTGAACAACGTGTTAGTCCTGAAATGAACTAGTTTTGTGTCGAGTGGACGTTACCCCCTCCCCCCCCCCCAATCTCTCTCTCTCTCTCTCTCTCTCTCTGATGGTGACCACTCGTATAATTTTAGGAGAATATGATATGAAACGGGGTTTAATGTCCAACTTTTCTGCGCCAATCGGGTACACGCCTGGATTGGGACTAAATATGAATAAAAACCACAAATTATTTTATACTCTTATGTATGATTTTTAAAATAATAATTGTTAAAAAAAAATACATGTGTTGATGATTAATGTAATTCCTGTAAAAAGTGCAAACATTTTAACGTGGCGTGCACGTAAAAGATCCCTTGACAGTTGGAATTTGATATATGAGTAGACCGTAATTTCCCTTATAGCACACTGTATGGCGTATGCCTGTGTTCATTAGCCCAGTTCGGAGCAGAAAAGTAGGACGTTAAACCCCATTTTTAAACATATATTTATAGTAACAATGATAAATGGAAAGCTAAACAATGAATAAATACTTTATTTTCCACAAACAAAAGTATTATTATTATTAAGTATTATTAATATATTTAGAGCCCACTCCATACATTATCTCAGTAGGCTTTACAATTTATACATATAACACAGAACACAATAAAAATAAAAATATCATAATATACATAATAAGAATACGTGATATGTGATAAAGATACAATCATTAATTTAAAGGTAGTATTGCCTAAAAAGAAACGTTTTGAGAGTGGCCTTAAATTGACTGTAAATATCGATTGCCCTAAGATTTCGAGGGAGAACATTCCACAGTTCCGGCCCACAGACTGTCAGTGAGCGCTTTGCATATGCGGTAAAATGGCGTGGTTCGAGTCGGATCTCATCCGAACTACGAGTGACTCTTCCGGATCTCTGAACGGACACCAGCTCACTGAGGTAACGCGGCGCCGTACGAAGGTGAATACTTCTGAAAATAATACACAGAATTTTGAAGCGAATTCTGCTCTCTACCGGAAGCCAATGGAGCTCACGTAGCATGGGCGTGATAGAATCACGCGATCGATGCGACATCCTGGCAACTAGCCGAGCAGCAGAATTCTGGATTAGCTGTAATTTCTGAATTTGATACGAAGGCAGGCCGAAAAGTAAACTGTTGCAGTAATCCAATCTGGATGTAACAAAACCATGAACTAATTTTTCCGTACTTCTTTGGTCCAAAAGATTCCTCAATTTTCCTATACGCCAGAGAGAGTACGACGCAGCACGACACACGGCGACAACATGCTCGCTCAAAGAGCCGGAAGAGTCAAATATTACGCCCAGATTCCGGGCCGACTGGGACGGGGGAACTGTGACGTCACCAATCCGCACAGCAGCCTCCAGGGCCCGATCACTAACCCTCTTGTTTTTAGACGTAAACCAGAGAACCTCGGTTTTCCCGTCATTAAGAGCAAGCATGTTTGCCTGCATCCAGTGGCGGATCTCGGTCACGCAGGCCTCTATGGAGGCAACAACAGAATAGTCAGTGCGGGTCCTGCAAGTCATGTAGATCTGAGAATCGTCAGCGAAAATGACACAGTTTAATCCATGCTGGCAAATAATATTTTCTAATGGTGACATGTAAAGTGAAAATAACACAGGCCCAAGAACAGAACCTTGAGGAACACCGTATTCAAGTGTATGTGGCTCCTTCGACATCAAAGACCCGATCGTGACAACTTGTGTTCGTCCACGAAGGAAGGACCCAAGCCAATCGTGGGCAAAGCCACCGATACCAAACCTCGTGCGAAGGCGCTGCATGAGTATGTCATGGTCAATGGTGTCGAAAGCAGCCGAAAGATCTAGCATAACTAAAATGACATCCTCTGTCCGTCTAGAGAGAGCATAACATCGTTATGCACTCTAAGGAGCGCAGTTTCGGTGCTATGTCCCTCCCGATAGGCAGATTGAAATTTACCATAAAGGGAATTGTCTACCAAGTAGGCATTCAACTGAACGAAGGCACATTTTTCTAAAAACTTGTCAATAAAACTGCAATTGGACACTGGCCTGTAGTTCTTGAACTCATTTCTATCAAGACCTGACTTCTTTATCAGAGGGCGGACCAACGCGCCCTTGCAAGACCGGGGGAAAACTCCTGTGGCAAAAGAGCCATTGACAATATTGGTCAGCACTGGAGAAAGATCATTGATACAGTCCCTGACTAGAGAAGTTGGTATTGGGTCTAATGCACATGATTTATTTGGCATATCACCGATCACTTTTGTGACAGCCTCCTGCGTCATGGGAACAAAGTTCATCAACCGACAAGAAGTTTCATCCGAAAAGTCCACAACTGGCGAACCATTGCCGATCTTCTCACGAATGTTCTTGATCTTCTGCGTGAAGAACGATGCAAATTGATCAGGTAGGTCACTGGGTTCAAGATCAGGCAGTACTTGGGAAGTTGACCTTTTCGAACCAGACAACTCATCGACTATTCCAAACAGAGTCCTCTGATCCGCGCATTCAATCCGTGAACGATGATAGTCGAACTTTGTTTCATCAAGCAGTTTATTGTAGGCATCTCGCGCCGCGTGGAATATCTGCTTGTGAACCTCAAGTCCAGAGTGTACTTGAATGTCATTTTTTGGTAATATTGGCCCAATATTTTACAGAAATATAATGATTTTTGATAGTAGGCAGTGGCAAAGTCCAAGGTTAAAAGCACGAGCTTCAACTAGGAGTAGGGGGGGGGGGCTCCCCCAGAAAATTTTGAAAAACAGGTTGCCGGAAATGCAGGCTGGCAGTATTTTTGGCACTGATCGTTGAGGTAAAGTGTCAAACGAACGGACTTGCGAATCTCGACGAAGCCCACACACGAGCGTCAAAGTAGGGAGTCCTTACGGAGGGTATGGGGGACCTCCCCTAGAAAATTAGACTGCCGGAAATGCTGTCTGACAGTATTCGGTCAGGTATCGATCGTCGAGATAAATAGATCTGACCAGATACCGTCCGTCGCCTGATCACTAGCTTATCCGACCAGAGAACAAAGTGTCAAACGAACGGACTTGCGAACCTCAACGAATTCCCCTTGTGAGCGCCAAAGTGATGCAGGACGGAAGGCCTGACAAGGACAGCTGTCTAGTCCTTCGGATGAGACGAAAAACCGAGGTCCCGTGTATACATTAGAATGCACGTAAAAGGTCCTTTGGCAGTTGGAATTCGATATAAGAGTAGTACCAGTTAAAATTATGACTGATAAGTGAGTAGTACCAGTTAAATTATGACTTTTCTGTTAAATAGTCACTACATCCTGAATTAATTATTATGTATAAATTATTTATTAATATTCTACAATAAGGGGAAATAATGGATGTATTGTGTAAAACACAACTGAACGGGTGTGTGAACCATTTACAATTCATATTTATTCTCGTTATATGCGGACTGGCACATGTTTTGATATCTGTATGGATTCAATTTGATATGACAACTAATGGTTAATAGTAAGTGCAGGAGGACCGCACAAAATACATATATTTTCACTACTTTTATTGAAACAAATATGTAAGCTGAAATTATGGGCACAGAAGAGTCTTGTGAATATCTTTATACCTTTGAGAAATAAGCTTTTATAACTACAATTTTTAAACCATATTTATAACGATGAATATAGTAATAACATCTTATCAGGTATAATATATAATGCAAAACGCTCTACGCACGCAGGGGGGATGGGGGTCGACTGCTTAGCTACATAAAAATTTTTGTAAATCAACACTTTTTATCAGAAAAGTTTCTCGGCCGTGTGCTTTATCCTTTATCGTCATATGTGGGACAGGATGGGCACTCAAAGCACAAGATAATGATATGGACATATTATGTGATATCACAATTAATGCTTTGCATCCATGAAATTGAATCACAATGTCATTGTATTAATTCGTAATAAAAATTGAGGTGTTGAATTTCTCTGTTTAAAAAGCTCAATGTGTATGTATATACGCCAAAAAGACGACAGAGGCCATGTGGGAGGTGGGGAGGATACATTGTCTCAGGAAGCTGGCAACTCCTGCAAAAATTCCTAGATCCGCCCCTGGCACGAATACGCTACCCGACGGGGTAACGAATCGTTTGGGACTTATTTTTATTTACTTGGGCAATCTCAAACGGATATAGGTCAGTAAATTTTATAGTTTAATATCAATTATCTTTTTTAATAAAGCAACAGGGGGCTGT